TTTTGGATAGGATGAATTAATAATAGTTAATGCATAGAAACTAATAGAACCATTTTATAGTAATTTGGTGTAACAAAACCAACAGTATAAAATAAAACTAATAGTATTGTTAGCATTATGATTATTATAATTATTAGTAGTATCTTTTTTCTACTTGAATTTATTTACCATATGAATAAGTATAATATTAACCTGGTCTTCCATAGTCGTTTAGATTCAACTGACTCATGATCTCAACTATTAAAATTGTTTAAACCTCCACAAAAATCTTTTTTGATAATAAACATCATGTGCTCACTAGTGACGGTCTCCAAGAGGTATTTCCTGGAGTTCTAATGTCCAGTGCAGTTCAACCAGGTCTGTTGTGAGATAGTAACTCACTGAAAACATTGGTGAATATGTCGCTCAATTTCGTGGATTGGTTAAAGTTAGACATTGACACCGTTGAATGCCGTCTCAGTGGTCCAGACGTTAAGCGTTCACGCGCGAGACCTAATGTTCTAAGTTCGAACCCCGCCGGTGAGATTGTAAATGCGCACCGATGAGTGGTCCCATACTAGGACGAAACGGCCGTCTATTGCTTCCAGGTGTTCCATCGTGGTCTAGCTTCAATTGACTTATGAATCCAACCATTTAAAATTTGATTAAATTATCATTAAAAAAGGAGTAAAAATGGAAATCACAACTATTTTATCTACTTTTATTTCGTAAGTAATTGTACCTCCGTGTTTATTTATTATAGACTTTAATGAATCACGTATATATTACGATTTGATTATCTTAGTATTCTAAGATATTTACAAGTATTTAAGTAAACTTACATATTGGCAAGCAGTGGTATCCAGGACATGAGTTTCGTCATATTTAAAACTTATCAGCCAAACATATCAATTTTATGAAACTGATGTAAAAGATGCTACGTTCAGTATAACACATCAATACTATAATACAGATTCATTCAGTTGATCAATCCTTAAAAAATATAACGAAACACACATCTTGAATTGTAATATTAGCCACTAACCAAAACATGACAAAAATATTTAGCTGACATATATTTGTACTTTTCATGTAAGTTCATTGAACTTTTCTTTCTTTTTTCTTTTTTTTTTTGTTTGTTTCCTTTAAATTACATTCATGTCAAACAACATTATTTTTTTTATCTAAAAGGATTTCTATCATATTATATCATTGAATGATATTAATACAGTCAATCAGTGATTTCATACAATGTTATTTAATACTTAATAAGAAGGAATAAGATTCTGTAAACTTTAGAAAAATGTATAAACATGTTTTGTAAGTACATTTATAACCATATCATATATGTTATTTTTAAAATAAATAAATAACCAAAAACTAAATATTTAAATGTTTGACCTTAATATATATTGTTTATGCAAAAATGGATAGTGACTAGCAGTGAAATCCAAGAAGCATGTTTCATCCTATTTGGGACTCGTCAGTTGGATGTACTTGCATCTCAGAGTTGATGTTCATTCTAGGATTCGAACAGTATGAACATATGCCAATAAGAGATTGATAATTTTCAGTTGTAAACATCAATGGGAAGATACAAGTAAACAACACTAAGTAAATTTAAACTTCACATCATTGCACAAGCAAATGGATATCAGGACTTAGTAGTTAAGTGGATAACGCGATGGCGTTTGAAGCGAATGGTACTGGATTCTAATCTAAGAGTGAAAATCAAATCTGAGATGCAGGTACATCTAGCTAACGAGTTCCAAATATGACGAAACACTCATCTTTGATTCCACTGCTAGCTAATATCTGTCTTTGCTCACAATGCTTGTGAATTAAGGCAATATCGAGGCAGTGTGCACAGTATGCACATATGCAAATAAAAGACTGATCAGTTGCAGACCTAAATATCAATGGGAAGATCCGAGTAAACAATGCTAAATGAAGTTAGTTGTTTTATCAAAAAGAAATTATTTACTCCTTTCATATATTCTTCTTTTATAGCCTATAGATTAGAGTCCATCCATTCAATAAAATGTACAAAAGATCAACAATGACCTATCTAGCATATATGCTATAACATGAACACCTTGTAAGAGCTGACCTTAATAAAAACTTATACTTTTGAAAGCATTGTCAAGTCATTGCTGTATAGATTTTTATTTTATTATAAAAATTTTTATCCTATTCTATATAATTTTATTTAGTTAGTTTAATTATTCATGTTTTGTATTTGTGGTGTACACTACTCATAGAGATAGATAAAAGTAGTATGTAGTAGGAATTGGAAATGGAATGCTTACCAGAAGATGATTGAAATGAAGAGAACGGGAAGGAAAAGAGAAAGAGAGCAATCAGATTAACAACGGGATTGGAAGAATGAAGAAGTGTGTAGAGGACAACCCAAGGAAGACATATAAATGATGTATTCAATATATGATTTACATATTTTACAAAAACACTGTATAATTTTGCATAAAACAATGAAGCGGTTTTCCCCACCAAATCTTCGTGCATTATATATAATGACATCTCAGAACATAAAGAGGATCTTGATAAAATATTCTATGCTGAAATTTTTATATTACACTAAAGATATAATACTGAATAAAGTCATTATTATTGTGTGCAAGAAATCGTCATAAAAGTTTGAAAGTTTGCATATTCAATTTTTGGATAAACTTGTATCTACGCTAAAAATGCAAACTGATGTAAGTCAGAAAATCAATGAAACCCTGAAAAGACTGAACAGTCACTTCACCTTATTATAAAACCCCTCAACAATACTCACCCAAGACTCCTCATCCTGTGGTTGAATCCAATACCTTCAGTCCCAAGCGAAAACGCTTAACCTCTGAACGGCTAAACCGCTATGTAAGGATATACAAGTCAAACTTCGACCAAACCACGATAATGCGCAACCATGTTACTTCATATCGTATTCTTACAACAATAAAAAATAGCAAAAGAACATGGACGTTCTTGGTTTTGTATCACGAACTGGCAACAAATGGAAATCAGTGAACGCTGAGTGGCTGTTTCGTCTTTGTATAGTGCTCTTCAGAAGTAAGGATCCACGATCTTATCAGGAATTAGACCTACTATCTTCAAGCCTCGCTGTAATCAGTTGACTTTCACGCCATTGAATTGACATCTAGTAGTTTGTACTTGTATCTTCATTTAATTACTGATATTGTAAAATCATTCTCTATATCCTCAATAAGACAAATTTTATCTATGAGAATTGCTAATGGTCATAATTTATTGCAAACTAATTGAATTTAAAAACACAAATTACTGAATGTCAACACACAGATTTGAACGGTCAGCATTCGTCACCAGGCGAAATGTTGAAACAGTTCTTTAATACTTTTTGATGGAGTTTCGTTCTTCACATGTAGTTCACATCTTGTCCTGTAGACCTCGAAGTCTTGAAGTTTGTGCTGACGATGTCGTTCAAAAGAACGATGAAAGCTCCGCGACCAAACCATCCAGCTCAGAGAACAAAACTCCATCAAAATCATTCACCTGAGCTACAAGTCTTCTCCACCATCTCAATTCTTTAGTACATCTTGATTTCAAACAATTGTCTAATTAAAGTCTATCTGTTATATCAAACTACAAGATTTAACTATTCCTACAATGTATATATTTATAGCGTACGTTATTATTTATTTAGACATAATCAAACCTACTGCACTATGTAACAAAATCGATTATCGTTATGCAAAACCGTCTTGAAAATTAATATAAACAAAATGGGTAACATGTAATCGTTTGATAAATTTATTTATTTATTTAACTAGAAGTCCCATATTAAAATGAGATGGCCATCTAGTGAATCCGAGTTTTCCATAGTTGTCTAGCTTAGATCGACCACTGAACTCACCTATGGAAATATTGTAATCAATGCTTATTCTCAATACAATAAATTATTTTCATAGAATAAGAACATTTTCTAGAAACAAAACGTTCAGACTTTAATTTATGGACGAACCAATCACGTATAAGATAACAAGTTCCGAATTTTGGCGCGAAATTCACTCATTTGGATAAATAGAGTTTTGACATTATAGCTGATGTCAGTTCGTGGTGAAAACCCGAAATCTAATTCGTAACCCTAACCATCAACTGTAAATCATAATTCTAATTCTTCGCATAGGTTTATAACCCTCATTTGGCCTTGGTTATTAGGTGGACACTCTCTAGATCAGTCTAGCGTCGCTCCAAGGTCGTCCATAAATTATAGTCTCAACAAAAAAGCTTGTTAGAAAGAAGTCAATTCACTTTATTTCATATATTTTAAGTCTTTTTAAATAGTCTATTGAAGGTAATCATTTTTTTAAATGTAGCTTTCTATATATTAATTAGTAGTAGAATAAAATGTAATGGTTTAATGAGATGATTTATCTGCTGATTAACCTATTGTTTTATCCATTGCTTATGAATACAGTCTAATCAACACTTAAAATATTTAAAGGTACTTTTTAGCATGGAATGATATCAAAAGCCATGGATTTGATGTGAATAATAAGCATAAAAATTTGTTATCATTATATTTAAAATCACTCGATATATGCTATCCTGTTAACTTCAGGACTTAACGATTCTAGGTTTTACTCTATTTAGTCATAGGTTGTCTGTGAACACTCGTAATAAGTCCCAGTTCAAGTTCCCCTTTTAAATGGTATTCAATATTAAATCATCTATTTGTATTAAAGTTTACAGAATTTAATACCAATTCAGTGATATCAAAGTTACACGATGATCATCAAATTTGAAAATCTTTAGCTGAACTTCTCATGGGGTCGTAGTTGTACGCCTTTGAAAAGACTAATAATAAGGTACAACAACTATTCTGTTCATTCATATTTGCAGAGGTTACATAACCAAAATCAGTCATTGATGTAAACGCTTTATACAACAATCATTACCTTATAAATTAGTTTTTTAATATTCTATTTCTGTACAATATCACAAATGTTGTCTATTATTAAATAATGTAGACGACTTACTTCTTTGGGAAAACATTTTTGATCACATAACTTAAGTAATGAGCAAATATCTTTTATTTTTTCACAATATATTCCTTCATAACCAGGTTGACATACACATTCTCCAGTTGATTTACAAGTTGCACCATTTAGGCAGTATTCAGGACACTTCATGGAACGTTTAGACTGTTTTTTACACGTTCGACCATCAGACTGTAATTCATAATCTGGATCACAAAAACATTGGTATGATCCTAATGTATTGATACAATGATGTTCACAAAAATGTTTTTGACCATTTTCATTCAAGCATTCGTTTACATCCTTTTGACAGTTTGTTCCGTAAAATCCTTCTAAGCAAGTACATAAAGTTTGATCTGTGTCATTTGAAAACACAGTTCGACAGCTTCCATATATACAGTCTATACCATCTTTACATATACGCTGACATCGTCTAGGATTATTTGGACTTGGTTCAAAACCTTCATTACATTTACATATATACTTCCCATCACCTAAATCCACACAAATTTGGTCACATGGTTTAATTGCACATGAATCTACTGTTTGCTTACAATTAAGTCCAAAATGTCCAAGCTTGCATTCACAGTCACATTCTCCATCTATTAAATTGCACTGAGAAGGACAAGAAATAGGTTCACATTTTGATGGATCTAAAGTGGATAATTTGTAACCTGAATGACAAGAACACTTAAAAGACCCAGGAGTATTGATACATTCTTGTTGACAATTATGTTTTCCTTCGGCGCATTCATCTACATCTGTCTCACAAGATAACCCTCGAAAACCTGGATTACACAGGCATTTTCCATTAGATGTACACTCACCTTGTCCATGAACACATTCAGGACTACATTTGTTTGGAAGACAGTGACCTTTGTGATCCTGATGATACCCTCTATCACACGTACAATAATATGACCCATATGTATTAACACAGCCTTGAACACAAGGCTTAGGTTTCAACTCGCATTCATTTATGTCTTCAGAACAGTCAAGACCTGTAAATCCACGACGACATAAACATTTTCCAGTGGCATCACACTTTCCCTTATTAGACATGCATCTCTCTGAACATTTAGACTTACAATTCAAACCATCACCACTTTGTGATTCATACCCCTCATAGCATTCACAGCTAAAAGAGCCGTATGTATTAATACATCTTTGAGAGCAGTTATGTGTCCCTGTCTTACACTCATCTATATCTTCACTGCAATCTGGTCCGGTAAACCCCGGTCGGCAGGTGCATATTCCATCATCAGAACAAAATCCTTGATTAATAGTACATCTAGGATTGCACGTGACTTGATGGCAAGATTTTCTATCAGTTAAGTTAAGTTTGTACCCTGAGTGACATTCACATAGGTAGGATCCAGGAGTATTAATGCATACTTGTTCACAGTTATGTGTTCCTAATTTACATTCATCAATGTCTAAGTTGCACCACTCTCCTGTATAACCTGGTAAACAGTGACATTTGCCTGTCATGTCACATTTTCCATTTCCTAAGTGACATTTTGTCAAACACTCTGATGGTTTACATCTTTTCGGGTTTTCTTGTACAACGACATAACCGTTTTCGCACTCGCAACGAAACGAGCCATAAGTATTAACACATCTTTGTTCACATCCACTCCTACCACTTAGACATTCGTCAACATCATACTCACAGTTAGGTCCTGTTAAACCTGATGGACAATTATCTTCCGACTCACATGAATGTCCCTTAAAACCAGGATAACAAAAGCACTTCCCAGTTTTCGGATCACAACGACCTCTTCCATTACATCCTGAAGGGCATTTGAATATATCTAGATCGACCGAAACACAGGATGAATCGTTATTTTGTAATGCCCATGGGTTGCATACGCATAACACATCTGAAGGTTTAGAACCGTTTTTAACACAGCCAAAACTGCATTGCAGATTTAACATTTGCTTACAAACTGTTGAATTCATTACATTACACTGTACACCATAGTTTGCTTGTGTACATGATGGATCATTTTGATAACATGGTGTAGAGCCTAAACAGGGAGGATTTTGTATGCAACTTGATCCACCATCTGAATGATAATCACATTGAGCAGGAATACAAAACGGTGGTATGCATTCATCAAATTGTCTAGCACTTTGTGACCATAAATAAGTAGATATTTCAGCTCCTTGTTGTGTACTATATGAATTTGGTGCATAACCCCAATATTGTTCTTTTTCATTCCAAACACGATCATTAGGATGTGATAATGTCATAACACTCTCAAAATAATCTTCAGGCTTTGAATTGCCATATTCAATTGGACTGTCTGATGAATAGATGCTTACATAATCATTTACTTCACGATCTGCTAATGTATGATTTCTTCTCCTGTAATCAATATTTCTATTAGGATAATTACTAGACAGAAAATTTTTTTTCCACCATTCTTCTGAATATTTTCTTGCCGAAGGATTTACAAATTTTATATTTCTTGAATATGGTACCCGACGTCTTTGAAATCGATATGTATTAGATTGTTGTAAATGAGGATTTTGATAAGTAGGTGAATTTCTATAAAATGAACGTTGATTATTACTATTCATGTGTACATTATAAGATGGTAATATATTTCGATTATGACGTTGATTATTATTATTATTATTATTTCTTATAAAATGATCATTTTTACTATTTTCTTGATTATATGGATTTACATGTTCATTCCAATTATAATTAAATTTATTACAATGAATTAATGATAAATGTAAATGTATTATGAATAATATTGAAAATATTGTATAATAAGAATAAAATAATTTTATATAAAATTTCATATATATTAAATCCATTTTGTTTAAAATAGTTGAAATGAAATCGTTTGTATTTTTATTTTATGGATACATGTTATCTACTGATAAATATAATGAATAAGTTAACCGCCAAAAAAATTTAAAAAAAAAAAAAAACTATAAATTAACCAATCAAATGTATGTTTACAATTGACCAATCATATTTCAAGACTCAGAAATAAATAGAAAACTAAAAATTTTTTTTATAGATTCCTTGATCTTTTAATAATAAATGTACATAATGGTAAATAAAAGATGTATGCAAATTTAAAATAAGATATAATAAGAAATTTAGGTGAGACTACAATGTATGGACGACATTTGGACGATGCCAAAGTGACCTTGAGAATGTCCATGTACTTAATAGGGCTAAATGAAGGTTGGAAAACAGTTTGAAGAATAAAGATGATGATTTACAGTTGATGGTAAGAGTTAGGATTTAGATTTATGGTTTTCCTCACGAACTGACATCAGCTAAAACGTCAAGACGCTATTTGGACGAATGGGTGAATGAATTTCCCGCCAAAATCTGAGACCTTTTATCTTATACGTGATTGGTTCGTCCATAAATTATAGTCTTATCGAAATTTAGATAAATAAATTAATCTATAGATTGTTTTGATTTGAACGTTTCCAATTGTGAATAGTAAGTTTGTAAATAGATGACATTGTGTGATAGATAATCGACTACAGACAATCAGATTTAAATAATCTAATAAATTATATTCACTGATAGTGTTATTATAAATTATAGTTGAGACGTTTGAATGACCAACCTGTTTTAACTTGTGGGCCTTGTGCCCTATTAATATATGACGTAATGATATCACCAATTAGAGAACAATGAATTATCAACCGGACCAATGACGCATAAAACCCGTTCGATCAGTTTAGAGTAATCAGCGATCCTATCTTCCTGCCTAGCCCTGCCTGTGATATCAATCATGTATTTCAAACATACTGGGTTTATATACAAACGTAAAATGACCACATTGTACCATAAAATGGAAAATAACATTTGTGCAAAATTTAGCCAAAAGTGTCTGTGAATGTCGGAGACTGTAATTAATAGACTGGGAATAACGGTAAGTCGTATAATAATAGTCTATGGGTGGAGATAAAGCTTATAATGAGAGAAAGATGAATATACATAGTTTAGTTACCTAACGACTATACGATAAAATATATGTATAGTATTAGTCCAGAAAAAGATCCCAACAGTTACCACTCATTACTCTTGTCGGGACAATCTTGCGAAATCTTATTACATATTTTAAATTAAATAAAAATAGACTCATAAAATATATAGGACACTATTAGCAAGATAGCAAATTTTATATAATATGACCCGCTGATTTCCGATAATGTTCAAAGATGGTTGAATATCTAATAAACTTAAAATTCGAAATGCTAACCACTTTTCCATTCGTTATGATAACCATTATTACAATAACGAAGTGTCACTATTAGATAAACTTTAGTATAGAAGACTTTGTCGGATTCTGACTAGACGATTGGGTAACACATAAAACCGTCAAATCAAATAAGATATTTGCATAGAAATTATGTCATTAGATAAAAAAAATCATCGTAAATATCATGGTTTGTAAGTCTTAGATAATGAAGTATTCCAGGTGATAATAAGGTCTTGAAACACATCCGATACTGAAACTACTGGGTAAGAAAATAGAGATTTGTGAAATTAGTTCGACCAGTTATTAAAATTAAGATGAGCGTTGTTGTTATTCCCAAGTCAAGACTGATACCCCAAAGCACAGCGACGACTTCAGTCAAAAGTACACTTATTTATATATTGATTTTTACACACAATTGATTATTATTTAATAAAACATCAGTTTTGAATTCATTTGTTTGTTGATTATTTTCAAATATTTTGCAACTTCGACATCATGCCCACTGCAGAGCAAGTGACTAGCATTTACACTGTTGAAAATCTTCCGTCCGTTAAGTTTCAACTATTATCCTACTTTATACTCTTCCGATGTATATGTATTGGCACGCACATTTAAACTGATAAACACAGTTAGAAGTATAACAAAGCAAGTATTTGTCCACATCCGATTGTCTCAATGAGCAGTTGTTTTTGTAACCGAGACACCAAGTTGGCTGCTTGATATGTTCTTTGTAGTATTCCCTTTAATCTGAAACCAGTCGAATTAGCTATTTCATCGTCTTTGAGGCCAAGTTTTGAGAAGATAGGGTTTTTCCCAACCACCAACCAATCTAGAAAAATTCATTAGTAAATACGGAATGATGTTAGGAAATGAGATTGAATGTCCTACAGTCAATCAAAGTAAATGAAATTATCTTTGAGCAAAACTAATACACAATTTATAACGATTAAAGTGGATTAGTTTCAATAGTTCTTAATGATGGCTTTTTACTTTTCTACAATTTGCAGATTTTAAACAAGTTATGACATTATATTATGTTAGATGCTCTGAGTGTGATAAAATTTGATGAATCATGTTGGTGTGTAGAACAATCACACATTTCCCAACTAGTGATAATAAACCTTATGATTTTGATCTTAATATGATTGGTGATACTAATAATCATATGCTTTCTTTATTTACCGCTTCTGACAATGTATTTCACGTTCAGAAACAATTATACAGAATAAATGCTTTGTTTTTTGATTTCGTTGTTGATGTACCAGATCTATCATTTCAGTTAGAAACTTAAAATCACTAGAACCCTCTGCTGGAATATAACGTGTTAATATCCCTACATTTATCATTACTGGTCACAAACTACCAATTCTCGAATATTTCAATATCGTGATTAGAAATTAAAAACCCTCACTAATGAACTAGTAACTAATAGCGAACCATCTATATTTAAATTACAAAATCTACAAGTGCTTCGAATACAACCTTCATCATTGACTACTGCAGACTATCCACATTAATCGTCTGAAAACTTTACTACTGTTATGACAAGTGGTGCCCGAGATCTGATACTGATACACAAAGAACTACGCGCAGCCTATCCAAAGTGATTACTTGAGTGAGAAGACAAGAAAGGAAGAGAAAGTCTGTCGAGCTACCAATCAATATACACATATACTTATTTATATATACATGTGTCTACCCCTTAGAAAATGAAACCATTCTTTAGTCAATGAAACGCATTTATCCCACGAGTCATTTCTGATTGTTGTCGGGTGACCTTCTCGTCTGGCCACTTCCGATTGGCGCACTATATCATATACCACAAATTCAATATGCGAAGATTTGTTCACATGTTCGAAAAATTCCCACTGTAATTTTCAAACATGAAACACTGCACCGATAAAAGCTGAAAGCCATTCCGTTCCAAACGCCAGGCTCAGAAACCCAAGATGACTGGATGAATTCTCGCAACACAGATTCAAAGAAACGATAGCAAAATCAACCTTAGTAAAGCTTTTCTTGCGAATATGGTTTGTTCACACTACCACTACACCAAATAGATACATTTCCAAGAACGAGGTGAGTCTATTCCGATTTCTGTTGTTAATGAGTACAACCAATTGCTCTAGGTTAAATGTATAGCTCCTATCGTCTATTACGGATCAAGACTGTTGTTTTCAATTTAAATGAATCAAATTCCGTTTATTTGACGCAATATTTGGTTTTAATTCGAGAATAATTTTGAGTTTTTACTCTCATTGGATACAACTGTTTTTCTGTTTACTGCACTTATTGTACTACAGTTCACGGTTTTCTGTGTGTATAACATTTTATTTAGGTTTTAGTCTTGATCTGTTTGTGTTTTTTGTCTAAGTTAACAGAAAACCTCTGATTGATGACTTGAAAGTGTAGAAAAGGCGTTTGTCATCTCCCACGTTGTCGACATCCGTCCAACAGTGTTATGCAGTGCTGTAAGTCAGAAGAATGGTATCACGAGTGATGCACAAACCTATCATCTGCAGCTTTCAAAAGATTTAATAAATCTAGATGCATGTGGTTGTGTCAACAGTGCTACTCAGAACCAATAGGGATCGTGTTCAAAAGCCACTGAAATGGCGAACGCTGCTAAGAAGCATATTAACAAGTACAACCGAGATAGCTATGTAGATAAAGGAATCTATTCGCAATCTTCTTAAGATCAGAGTCGATGTGCTGAAGTGGGCTGAATCACGAAGGATTCACTTTACAGAGGTCGGTCAGGAATAAGAATGCCATTTTTTTGTGTGCCTCCCCCTCAAAGTGACAGTAGACAAGGAACTCTTGGAAAACCCTATCTTAAGACCAGATCCGTCTTGAACAAGACCTGAACATCCAAGTTGTTGAAAATTTTTCAGGATTTTATAATGTTTCTAACGCCACTGTGACTGGGACTCCAGTGCAGGACGAACACTGACTGACAAAGTAAGAGTGTAGAACCCATTTCTGTACACATCTTTGCGAATGTAAAGAAAATCCCTCCACGCCTGTTTTTCTTATGAGTAGTCGTTCGCATTCCTGTAGTATGTATGTATGTTGTCTGTATTTTGTTATATATTTGTTCTCATTTTTGTTATGTATTGCAGCTGTTATTACTATATTGTTTACAAATTCTAAATTCTATTTCCTTGATGCGATTGAAGTTTTTAATAACTGCTTTCTCTTTGTTTTATTAGCATCGTTTTTAAGGCCCTAGCTATACAGAATTCTTATACCTTGGTCTATGCTTTGTGAACTGGTTGCCTCTGTTTCTTGTGGTTAATTTTGAAGCTCATTCCCTTATAGTTCTGGGAACGTTTTGTATTATGCACTAGTAGTTAACTGTGTTTTATACAACTATCGTTTTCCAGTTGATTGCTTATCTTCGGAGCACAATAAATTGGCCTATCCTTCTTCTTCGAGTAGGCTATTGTTCCAACTATGATAATTGAGTTTTATCAAATGTCTATACAAGTTGGAAAAAGTACTCTTCATGTACCATTATTTTTGTCTGTACCTATACTCTTTCTTATAACACCTTTCCTGGGTATCGTCTGCTCCATTTTAAAAGTTTGTCACACTATTGTTAGGAAGTTATCGGGTATGATCGTCTTTTGAATGACTGAGCTCGAAAGAACGTTACCGTTAATCTATCAATGAAC